GTGAAACTCTCCTATTATATAGTAGGACAGTATGGTATAAGACATCTATATTTTAACAAAGAGAACAACACAGCAAGTAATGTACATGGGGAATTCGTGGACAAAGTTTTAAACTGCCTTTTATTTGGGGGGGCTACAAAAATTTAGTTATATCAACTGAAGTTTTCAGTATAAAGTTGATGAAATTTTAAGTGTATTCTTATTTTTCTGTTATGTCTTAGGTGTTTGCTGACTAGTACTTTTGAAAGTATGTGCTTATCTGGCATGTCCATAACAGAAGGAGCCGCACATTCTCCCTCTGATGTCCTGGGTAGCAACTTCTCCTCTTTGGAGAATTTAGAACAGAGAGTTTTGTCATAGGTAAATATCCATAGCTATATAGTGATTTTAAATGCAGAGTAATCCTAGGGTAGAGGCAGGTAGAGAAGGCTGTTTTATGAAAAAAAAGTGAAGCTTTCTGAAGAAGTATGTGTCTTACAGGTTTTTCGGAATAGTCTGTTCTTACTGCCTTCTTTCATATAACACTATATCAAAGAAAAAGTTTTGTTGTTGTCATTGTTGTTTTTTTAAAGTGTTTTGTTTGCTACAAAAATCTATACCCCAAGTTGCATAACTGGAATTAAGAAGAAATACTGGAAAGTTCGGTTTATTTCTTTATTCTTCCAGATTTATCTGCCCTCAGAAGTTTAAAGAAGTTTGTTTTATTGTTTTTATTTTAGCATTTTAATTATTTGCACTACCCCTTTTCATATGGGCTCCATAATACTCAGAATGATTCTCTGAGATTACTATGAAGAATACTTACATCCCTTGAAGTGTTAGAACTGAGAATGAAGAGCATATTCATTTATCAAGTGGGACTTAGGTAGCAGATCAACTTACACACATTTTCTATGTATTTGAACTTTAGAACGTCATTGCTTCCAAAGGGCAGGGTTAGAACCAAAAATAGTGTTTTTGATTGACAATATTTTCATTAAAAAATTAAGCTGATCCATGCCTTGGGTTCTATATTATTCATTAGTTTTGTTCATTAGATTCCTGTTATAGGTAAGATCATATGGTATTTGTCTTTTCACCAATTGGCTTATTTCACTTAGCATAACATTCTCCAGTTCCATTCATGCTGTCACAAAAGGTAAGAGCTCCTTCTTTCTTTCTGCTGCGTAGCATTCCATTGTGTGAATGTTCCATAGTTTTTTGATCCACTTATTTACTGATGGGCACTTAGGCTCTTCCCAGCAATTGACTATTGTAAATTGTGCTGCTATGAACATTGGGGTCCATAAGAATTGTTGACTAGGGATTCTTAGGGTATAGTCCCAGCAGCGGAATCACTGGGTCAAAAGGCAGTTCCATTTTTAGTTTTTTGAGGAAATTCCATACTGTTTTCCACAGTGGCTGCCCCAGTCTGTATTCCCACCAACAGTGTACCAAGGTTCCCTATTCTGAGCACCCTTGCTAGCATTTGTTGTTTATTGATTTATTAATGGTGGCCATTCTGACAGTTGAGGAGATACCTCAATGTGGTTTTAGTTTGCATCTCTCAGAGTCGGGGGAGGGGAGGCAATGGGATGGGCAGAAGAAGGCAAAGGGGGAAAAATTGAGACAATTGTATTAGAATAACAATAAAAGTGATTTAAAAATTAAGCTGACCAAATGATGAGCATTAAAAAAAAGGATTGACTTTGGATGTATTGCAGACATGCTTCCTCAATGCTTTGTTTTTGTGCTTTTGTGATACTTGTGCTCGCACATGCTTTCTCTTAAATGACTGGAAAGTAACTGGCAGACCTGTGACACCTCACCCCTGCATACTTCAGTGTATGTCTCTGAAGAATGAGGATATCATTCTACATAAAACCACAGTTCTGCAGCACAATCCAGAAAGCTAAAATTACACAGTAATGATAATGTACTATACTGTTTTCCAGTTTTTCTAATTTTTTTCAAAATGTGCTTTATAGTTTTTGTCTCCCTAATTCTAGATTCAGCCAAGGGCCACACATTGAGTTTGGTTGTTGTGTCTCTTTAGTCTCCATTAAATGAGAGCAGCATCCCCCTTCCCATTTTTTTTTTCCTTTTGGTCTTTTGTCAAAGTAACATCATTAGAAGTCTAAGCCAGTTGTTTTGTAGAATGTTAATTATGCTAATTTTGTGTATTTTTCTTGATTGGTTTCAGGTTAAACATTTCTGGTAGGATCACTATAATGGGTGTGGAATAAGGTTCAGGACAAGGTGTAGGCTGTGAAGCCCCAAGACCCCCACAGCCACCACTTGGGGGATGGGAAAGTGGACGGACAGGTTGAGAAGTGCTTTGCATATCAGTAACAGCTGGTTAGGTTCATTAGGTATGTTAAGTAGCTATGGCAGACCCTCAGAGCAAGCAGAGCAAGGGAGGTGGGCAAGACTCTGACAGGAAGAAGAGAAGCGGTTCCCCTCCTGCCTGAGAAGCTGAAAAGAGGTTCCTCAACATCACTGGGCCGAGCCTGCCCTGACTAACAATGGCAGCCAGAGAAAAGCAGAGGAGACCGGAGTACTGGCAGAGTTGGCTGATTGTGGGAGAAGTCAGAAATGGGGTCATGGAGAAGGAGCAGGGTGAGGATTTAAACTCACCAGATGCTGCCATAGGGGCTCCGGTCCAGTCGCTAACAGTTTTGGTGACCTCTGTAACACCACCACATGTATGTTTTTCATTACATCACATCAGGAGGTGCAGTGATATCAGTTTATGTTATTATTGGTGATGCAGAACTTGGTCATGATGCAGATCACTTCATTGGAAAGCCTTTTTTCCTTGTTTAGTAATAAGTAATCTGTAGGTTCATGCTTTGAGGCTGTGTGACTGTCCTGTTCCCTAGTAACCTTTCACCTGGTGGTTTTAATTTACTGATTGACTTAAATCCCTCGTGTTTATTGATGGATTTCAGTGTATCTGAGAAGCCACTGCACCCCCGCACCCACGTGTATGTATTTTTCCAGGGATACAGTCCATTACTGCCAAAATATTTACAAGATTTCCCTTCCTGCTTTTGAGGTGCCTTCTACAAGTTTCTGTGCTTCAGAGAGGGCTGTTATAAGAGGTAGGTTTCTAGAAGCTGAGAATCAGCCCCATTGGTCGAATTTTCCCAGTTATCTAGCCCAGCATCACATGTAACTGGATAATTTTCTTTGTTTGACAATGCTTTGTTCTCGCCTCTCCCTTATCCTGAGCCTAGCATATGAAGCTTTTGTATTTGGCATAAACTGTGCTATAAATTAAAACAAAGGGGTTTAGCCCCTGATGTTTTTGGTGTTCTCTCTGATGATTCTTGGGCCCAGCAAAATTTGGTTTGTGTCTTTGTTGACACTGAAGTAAATTTAGGTCAATTGGAAATGAGTAAAAACATTGCAATATATGTTTTAGTTGTCTAATTCTCAGTTGTATTGAGACATTTTCACAAGTGTGAAGTGCTCCTCTTGACTGTGTAGACAAGAAGGTCCAGCAGGTGAACCTTAGGTTCATTTTAAGCCTCTTATGGAATAGCTGTAGAAGTGGCTGATTCTTGACTTTCCCTGCTTAACCAGGAGAGCAGTATGGAGTTAATCATGGCAGCAGCTAGTGAGGTGTATTTTGTTTCATCTATTGATTATCCTTTGGTAACACTGGTTTGCTTTGCATGAAAAATTGTCCTTTTGGTGACTGATAATGAGAGCTAACATTGGGATAGTAGACTTTTAAAATATACATTATACCATTTAATACAGAAGATAACTGTGGAAGTAGATATTGTTATTCTAATTACACAGGTAGAGAAAAAGGGCTTGTAAGAAATTAAACTAGCCAACATCAGACAGGTAAAAAAGAGCTCCAAATTCCTTATCATTTCTGTCTCTCTAATCTAGAAGGTAGAGGTTGTCTAAGGAATCTTAAATATGAACAAAACCATGGCCCTTGCTCCCAAGGATCTTTTAAATCCAACAAGTCTGTTTTATGAATATATTATAGACAACAGATCAAGGGACGAGCTAAAGAAGTACAGAGAAGAACAGATACCGCCAAGTATAAGGTCAAGGTCGGTACACTGGAGGTAGCATTTGAGGGGGGAGAATGCCTGGAGAGGATAAAGAACAACAAAAACGTGGAGATGGGAAAGCACAGGGCTTGTGATGGAAGAGGAATTGGTCTGGTTTAGCTACATAATGAGCTGCGTGGGAAAAAAGTAAAAGAAAGTAGTGGAAGCTAGACCTGAAAGATAGATTAGGACCAGATTGTGAAGGGCCTGGAATATCATGCTAGGAAAGAGCCTCATTCTGTAGATATTTTTGAGCATGAAATGAAAGATGTGACCCTATAGGAGACCCAAGAATAATCATAATAAATGCTTATGAATCATAATAAATGCTTATGAAGTTTTGACTCAGCGCTAATCTCTTACTGTACATTATTAATGCCTTGTAGTAACTCTCTGAACAATGTACCCTGTCCATTTTACAGATGTGAAACTGAGGCTCAGTGAGAATAAGTAAGTTTGCAAATGTCAAACAGATATTGCTGGAGCTAGGACTGGAACTGGGGTCTGTCAGCATCCAAAGCCTGCTCTATTTACCACTATGATTAGATTGTCATTCTCTTATCAGAACACTTGATAAGTTCATAATTCTCTGTCAAGAACAGGGCTGTAGGAAAAGGGGGTTTTCAAAGTTCTGAAAGGATTACTTCTCAATGTGTAATTATGTTAAGGAATCTAATCACTATCAAATCTACCTTTTTTTTTTTTTAAATACTGCTGCCTACTTTGGGACCAGAGCCTGATGAGAAATTGAAGAGTTGCATGATGTTTTTATTTATTTACATGCCTCATGACATCAGCACGTGCTCATAGAGAATGTTTTTGTTTTCATTTTCAGTGTTTAACTTTATTGTCTTTAACTTAGATCAGGTTATGAAAGCCCAGTTTCTGGGAGCATTTTATGATGCATGAAGTGATATTTTTCCTAAATATGTTTTTTCTCAGCAGGTTTTCTACTTATAAAAGACAATGACTACTGATGAAGTTACCAAGAACAATGGAGAAAGCCCAGCAGCAGCTGTTGCTGAACAGGGAGAGGATATCACCTCTAAGAAAGACAGAGGAGTGTTAAAGGTGAGGCTATGAGGACCAATGACATGGAGGGAAATTCACTCCCTGGAATGATGATAAAAATCTTTTTGGGAGTGGGGCTGGAGGTAGATAATATTTACTGAGGCTTACTAAGTGCCAAACATGACAAAGTCTCAAATCATTTCATAGCTTGAGGTGTATTTTTAATCCTAGATTACACAATAGATGGTGAAATTGAGGCCCATCCAGGTAAATTAACTTGTTGAGTATCATACATATAAGTAAATGCAGGTCTGGGGTTCAGGTCCAAGTTATGTCTGACTCCAAAAGGTTGTTTCTCTCTGTTCTCAGAGTGTACAAATAGGTTGATATTTTAATATAATATTTTAGTGTATTAAAGCTAGCTTATAATGATTCAAACTGTTTTTTTAAAGAAAAAAGAAGAGCTAACTTGCAAAGTTCAAAAGGATTTGTTTTTATATACAAATAGGATGTACCATGCAGTGAATCATTTTTACATGTGTTATTTGTATCTCGCAGTGGTCTTTTAAGACAGAGTACCTCTTCATTCTTCTATTTATAGATGGAAAATAGATATTTATATTCCATGTAAGTGAATAAACTGAAGCTGAGAAAAGTTAAATGGCTTTAGTCATATTAAGTTATTTCTCCTATACTGTTATGCATTCAAGTTTTGTAAATTTTTTTGCTGAAAAGATTATCTTAGAAAGTTTATATGCTTAGACTTACATTCTAAATATTGCCTCTGTGCTGATCTTTTATATGTCCTTGTGTCCACAGTAGCAAATGAGAATTTTTAGTTTGTTTTGTCTAATGTTGCTTTTGTGAATGGCTTTTTTTTTCTTTTTCATTTTGCCTGAATCTCTTCTGAATATGTGTATGTTTTACTATTAGCTTGCTGTATGCCAAGCCAGATTTTGGAGACTTACAACTACAGAACAAGGGTTTCATGCTGTTGATTTATATCATGAGACCTGACCTTCTATCAGATGGCATGTGAACCTTACAGCTGTATGAGTTGCACACCCCAGACTCCAGTATGCTGTTAGAGACAGTGAGATTCTGCAAGCTGCCCTCTTGCATCTCCTTCCTCTTTCATCTTTTCAGAGCTCCCATTAGAGAACACAGTCCCCAACTTGCCTTGGGTTCTGCTTTGTTCTCGGGGTTAACTAATAAGATTTTTAGGTTTAAACTGTAAGGAACACTTTGAGACTGTAAGTCTTTTAAATCATGTCATGTATCACTGTCAGCCTCAGGTTTCACTGTGGATCTTGGTTTAAGATTAAATAGGCCTACTAATTTTTTGACTTCCTATCTGTGATAAAGTTTCCTCATTGGTAAAACTGGAATAGTAATACAGTCATACCTTGGTAGTCCTCGGCTTCAGAACTCTTTAAACCTCTGTACTCGTCGCATTTTGACAGGAAAAAAATGTTTCAGCACTCTAGCTGCTCGGTGCCCATCTCTCACGATTACACAGAGGTCCACATGGCAGTCTCACAGTAGCTCGTGAACAGTTTGGTCCTCGTTGGTTTTGGCACTTGTCATGAGTTCCGGAAAGAATTAATGAGTAACGAGGTACCTACGACTGTACTACCTACCTCCTAGAGTTTTTGGGATTACATAAAGCATTTAGCATAGTGCCATGGCTATGTCAGTCTCTTATTATGTATTATCTATATTAAAAAAAAAAAAGACCAAGGCAGTTCTGGGAAGTCAGTAACTAGTCCAGGAAGATAAAATTGTGGCACTTACTTTTATTTTTAATGAATTGAGACTAGATTGTAGTATTAAGGCAACTCCAGATTCAGGCACAAGTTCATCTTGCTGGGGAAACCCGAAGTGATGTTAATTACAATATCGCCTGCTGCTGTGCATAGCTGTCCGACCCCTGGTAGCTGTCTATCCCATATGCCCAGTTACTTGTTCATCATCCTACAAATGCAGATCCCCTCCAGAGGAGGCTCAGGCTCCCAAATATCGCACGCAGTTCATGACAGTGAGCACTTTTAGAATATTATGTGATTTCTTTTAGATTAATTTTTTAACACTTTTTCCTGTTTGAAGTCCGTGAAGGGCAGTGATGATTTTTTTAAGTAGCTCTTAATTTAATTTTTAAAATTAGAATTATTTTTTGCAACTCTGTAGACATAATTATATAACATTATATAAGTGTATGGTGTACAGTGAGATAATTTGATACATTTATATGTTTCAAAATGATTACCACATAGGCTTAGTTAACACCTCCATCACCTCACACAATTACCATTTCTTTTTTGTGGTGAAGACGTTTAAGTTCTCTCCTTACCAACTTTCAAGTATATAACACAGTGTTGTTAATTATAGCCACCATGTTGTACATTAGATGTCCCAAATTTAATTGTTTTATATCTAAAAATTTATATGCTTTGACTTAAATCTCATCATTTCCCCCATGCTTTAGCCCCTGGCAACCATTATTCTGCTCTCTGTTTCTGTGGGCTGAGCTTTTTTAGATTCCACATTAAATGATATAACAGTGTTTTTTCTTTGGCTTATTTCATTTAGCATAATGCCCCCAGGGTTCATCTATATTGTCACAAATGGCATAACTTCCTCCTTTCTCGTGGCCGAATAATATTTGTGTGTGTGTGTGTGTGTGTGTGTGTGTGTGTGTGTGTGTGTGTGTGTCGCATCTTTCTCCATTCACCCATGGACACTTAGGTGGCTTTCAGGGTTTGGCTGTTGTGAATAATACTACAGTGACATGGGAGTACAGATAGTTTTCTGAGATAGTGATTTTGTTTCCTTTGGGTTTATAAGGGGGGAACCCAAAAAACCACAAAATTTATGTATAAAAAATTGTGTATTCTTATATGTTTAAACTTTAGTTAGCTTCAGACTACTCTGTATTTGATGCAATACACCTGTTGAAACTTTTTTCCACTGCTCAAAACAGTTTTTGAACTTGTCAATTGTGATGCCTTTTAGTGCTCCTGCTGTTTTTTTGTTTCACCTCTTTGGTACATTGGAATCAGCAAAATGTTTCCCGTTGAGGAATTTTTTCATCCGGGGAAACAAAAAAAAAGTCACCTGGGGTGAAATTGGGTGAATAGGGAGGGTGGGGTATGGGGCTCATGCTGTTTTTGGTCAAAAACTTCTAAACACTCAGTGCAGTGTAGACAGGTGTACTTGTAAATCACCTGTCGTGAAATGTGCAAATGTGTTGAAAGAGTCTTCAAAGTAAATTTACTGGAGCCGAACACAGCCTCTCACAACAGCACCAGCTGGTACACAGATACAGATGGGTTCCTAGAACACTCACTGTAGCTGGGGAAACCTCTACTACAAGGGGCCTGCCCTCCAGAAGATAATTACCATTTATTTTGAGTCCCCCCTCTTACATCCAAAACCGGGATTGCTAGGTCATGTGGTAGTTCTATTTTTAATTTTTTGAGGAACCTCCATACTCTTTTTCACAGTGGCTGCACCAGTTTATATTCCCAACAGTGCACAAAGGGTTCCCCTTTATCTCTTGTTTTTTATAATAGCCATTCTAACAGGTGTGAGGTGGTACTTCATTGTGGTTTTGATTTGCATTTCCAGAACTGTTTGTTTCTTTCTCAGATTTTCATTGTTAATATATAGAAACACAACTGATATCTTTATGTTGATTTTATATTCTTCAACTTTACTGAATTTATTGATTAGTTCTAACAGTTTTTCAGTGGAGTTGCAGTAATGATTCTTTTCCTTTAGAGACTGAGTTTTTGAACTAAGAAAGTTGTAGATCCTAAGATAGTATTTATGTGGTAATAATGAGGGTAGGGCAGGAAAGACACATCTCCAAGAGGAATATAAGAACAAATAATTGAATTCTTTAGAAAAAAATTCAGATCTTTCCCCCAAAAAGATGTTCTTTGGACATCAGCTACCACACTCTGCTATCTAATAAAAATGATTAATTTAGCACAGGTGATTGATAGAATAAATTACACTGCCACATGCCTGGATTTGATTTCCTTTTTTCCAGGATTTACCAATTGCAGTAGTAGCTGCTCTGCCAAGAATGAAATAAATGTACTGGGTTTTACAATACCTAAATATTTTGCAGATTGGAGATTTTTTTTGGCATTTCCTTTATTAGAAAATGAATTATTATTATATGAAACTGTAATTATATGAAATAATTATTTGCGAATCTGCCTTCAGGGATGTGAAATGGACGTGCCTTTTTTAAAAATTTTATTTATTTATTTTTAGAGAAGGAAAGTGATGGGGGGTTACTGTGTCCTGTACAGAGTCCCCCCACGGGTCGCTGCTAATGAAGGAAAATAAAATATTTGTTCCAGACACTTCTCGGTCTGCCAGGGAAAGGGGGTGGCAGTTCCCTCTAATGGAGAATGGGGCAGCCCTTCTCTTGACGTGGCTTTTATTGAGAATGATATGTGCAAGGGTATACAGCAAGAATGCAAAGCTCATCAACCAATGTCAAAAGGCTATAATTGAGGGAACACAGAGATTTGCCTCAACTCAGGATCTGGTAGAGGGTGGCGCCCATTTGTCCCTGAAACCTGGGAAACTGATCACATTCCATGCTCAACCACAAACATCAGTACTCATTAACTCAAGGACATTCTTAGCAAAGTTTCATAGGATTTAATGCATTCATCTTCCAGGCCTAATTGTCCCTGGGAAGGGCCTGATCCAGTTTAGGGCTGTACCTGCCTTTAGTATTGTTTCACTGACCAGTCAGGTGATGGGCAGAGCAGCCAAGAGACACGGAGACTTCTTTCAGATAGAATGAGGACTTCGGCCATGACAAAGATGAGGGGTGAGAGTCTTTTGCCCCTTCTCAGTGTCCCCAGAGTCGTTCCCTGATGGCCCCCGTGTGACTGTGCCTGTCTTAGGTTGCCCCTGCCATAAAGGGATCTTGACCGTCACTGACTAACCAGCCATCCTCTGGAGCCAAGCAGGGTGATGTGAGAGGGAGGCAAGGGCTGCGCCCCTGCCAGGGGAACAGGTTTTGTCTCTTCAGTGGCCTATTTTCCTGAGGCCTCCTTACTCAGCTCTAGCCTTAGGGCCTTTTTGCCTGTCGGCAAGGCTACAGTCCCTGAAACCAGGCAGGATGGTTCCCAGCAGGAAAGGGAGAGGGAAAGAGAGGGAGAGAAACATCAATGTATGGTTGCCTTTTGCGTGCCCCCCACCCACCACTGGCCACCTGGGCTGCAACCCTGGCACTTGCCCTAAACTGGGAATCGAACCAGCTACCTCTTGGTTCTCAGGTTGGGGCCCAATCCACTGAGCCACCAGCTAGGGCGGACTGTGTGATCTTTTGATTCTCTGATTAGAAGTTAAAAGTTCCACCTCCTTTTTCTTGATGTTTGTCTTTTCTAGATTGTCAAGAGAGTGGGGAATAGTGAGGAAACACCAATGATCGGAGATAAAGTTTATGTCCATTTTACGGGAAAATTGTCAAATGGAAAGAAGTTTGATTCCAGTCATGATAGAAGCGAACCATTTGTCTTTAGTCTTGGCAAAGGTAAGAGGGTATTGAGTGAGTTGTGTTTTGCTTAGATTTATTGCTTTTCTTTTTTTAAGAGAGAAACATCAATGCATGTGTGCCCCTTGCACGCCCCCTACAGGGGACCTGGCATGCAGCCCAGGCATGTGCCCTGACTGGAAATCAAACCTGCGACCCTTTGGTTTGCAGGCTGGCACTCATCCCACTGAGCCACACTAGCCAGGACTTATTGCTGTTTCTAATACATAGGTGCTGGTGGGTACTTTCCTTGCCAAAAGTAAAGATATTTTAAAGCCATAGTTCTCAAATTATGGTCCCTGGGTCCCTGGGAGTTTCAAGATCCTTTTAGGAGGTCCATAATGTCAAAATTGTTTTCATAATAATACTAAGATGTTATTTATCTTTTTACTGTGTTGACATTTGCATCAATGGTACAAAATCTGTGGTGGTAAAAACTTCTGGTGCCTGAGCCCAAATCTAGGCAGTGGCTCCAGACTCTACCAGCAGTCAGGCATCCTTTACTGCCCTCATTTATGGTTTCAATTAGAAAAAAAGGGAAGTCAGTTACACTTAAGAATGTCCTTGATAGAGTGTAAAATAATCATTTTATTAAATCGTTATCCTTGAGGCTCACATTGTCATGCTATTTTGTGACAGAAAGGGAAGCACATACAAAGCATACCGCATGCTCCAGGCTGGTGGTTATCTCCAGGGCACACACCCTGTGCACTTGCTTTAGCTGAGAGCTGAGCCGGCTGCATTTTTTTTTCCATGAAACACCATTTTTATTAGAAAGGGCAAAACATATGATTCTTCAGACTTGATTACTTAGTGTTAGATAGGTGTTTCCTTGAAAATGAATGAAGTAACCTATTACTTTAAGGAAAACAACTGATAATATTTATTACCATTGAATTTTCAAGTGAAGATTACAGCTTTGGATATTTGCGTCTGCCACTTTGAGCTTGACAGTTTCCCAAAATATAAAAGATTTCTGATGAGATCAGTGGATATTAATGTAAGTGATTTAAAAAATACTATATGATGAAATCTGTTTACATTTCAAAAATCTGTGTAATTCAGTGAACGCATATTTTCCCAATGACCAATGCAAGATGTTACAAAGTTATTCATGAGTAAAAGATCTATTCAATGTGGAAGCTCAACCAATGGATTTTACTGTAATATACTAGAAAAAATTCATTGATAGGTTCTCAGGTTCCTTATTGCCACTAACCTTTATGAAACTACCATTTGTCTAGTTTTGATATATCAGATGATTATATTTATAAATATCTAAAAAGGCTATTAAAATACTCCTTCCTTTTCCAACTATCTATATTTGAGTTTCGATATTTTTGCTGTGTACACCAACCAAAATTGCAACAGATGAATGTAAAAGTCGATATGAGAACCCAGTTATCTTTTATTAATTCAGACTTATTTTACATTTGTAAAATCACTAAACAGTATCACTCTCTCCACTAATACTTTTTTTGGAAAATACAGTTATTTTCATAAAAATCAGTTACTAACATAATGAGGTTATTTTTAAATGAATTAGCATATAACTATTTCTATTTTTTAAAAGATTTTATTTATTTATTTTTAGACAGAGGGGAAGGGAGGGAGGAAGAGAGGGAGAGAAACATCAATGTGTGGTTGCCTCTCGCATGCTCCCTACTAGGGATCTGGCCCACAACCCAGGCTGTGCCCTGACTGGGAATTGAACCAGCGACCCGTTGTTTCACAGGCCAGCACTCAATCCAGTGAGCCATACCAGCCAGGGCTAACTATTTCTATTTTTAATGTGGCAGCTATATAGATATATAAGTAAAAATTTGGCATCCTCAGTTTTTAAGATGTAAAAGGGTCCTGAGGAAAAAAAGGTTAATAACCTCCATTTTCAACTCTTAAATGTGATTTATACTAATTTCTTTTCAAATGCTTTTAAATGTCTTCAGTTGATTTAATATTCTTACTTCAGCTTGTAAGAATAGCCTATACATCAAAACTTTGTGGACCGTGTTGTGTGTTCAAAATCATGACTGAATTACACCATTTAAAAAAAATTATTGTATTTATTAGGGTGACATTGATTAATAAAATTAAAAGTTTCAGGTGTACAGTTCTATAATACATCATCTGTACATTGTATTGTATGTTCAGCACCCCAAGTCAAGTCTCCTTCCATCACCATTATCCCTCTTTATCTTCTTCTACCTCCCCAAACTGCCTTTCCCTCTTGTTATCACTATACTGTTGTCTGTGTCTATGAGATTTTTTTTTGTTGTTTAACCCCTTCACCTTTTTTCAATCAACCCCCCAGCCCTCTGAAAGCTGTCAGTCTGTTCTCTGTATCTATGAGTCTGTTTCTATTTTGTTCATTAGATTCTACATGTAAGTGGAATGTGTGATGTCTTTTTATTCTTATTTGCCATAGATATGACAGACTTCTGGTTCACTGCCAGATTAAGTGTAGCAGAAGAGGGCTAATCCCACTGTTCACCACCATGGCTCGGTGTTTACTATAATTTCTTTCTTTTTCTGCTTCTACAGTTTAGTTGAATTGTTAACTAAGCAGTGATCTGGGAAAGGAAACAGCAAGTGAGGAGCTCTGCCACTCTGTCTCCCCTGGTACTCATGGGTCATGGGCCTTTGTATGTCCTGGTGCCTTCTGCTTCCTGTCCAGCTGTTCTCCCTCCAGGCTCTCATGCTTGCTGTGCCACTGCCCCCTTCTCCTTCAGGGCCTTAGTGAGTGAATGGCTCCTGTGATATGTATTTCGTATTTCAGTAAGATAGCAATCAGAATCAAATAGGATTCTTTTTTTGATGTAGCAGATAATAATGACAGTTAAATTAGGAGTTTTTTCATTTTTGTTGATTTATGGATGGGAACCTCAAGGGCCATCCACATGGCTATGGCATTATTCAATTTAGATGATCTCAGAGTAGATGGCCATGCAGACCTCTCTTTCCACTGCCCCAAGCTCTTACTCTTCCCTTTGAATTTCTGTCTGGAAGAAGTTGAGAGATTTAAGAAAAATCGTCTCTCAGCAGTTATCTTTGCAAATAGATTTAAGAATTGCCGAGAATTTATACTGCCACCTTCTCTACCCAGGTTTTCTCAGTGAAACACTATGATTAAGGAGTCTTTTATGTTTCCTGTGATTTTGAACAGAGAAAAGAGGTAACTTTGTGTAGACATGGTACCAGTGACAGACCTGTGTAGAGATAGCATGGTCTTGTGGGCAGAGCACCCAGCCAGGTGTTAGGCAGCCAGGCTCCTCCTCCCTTTGTACTTTATAATGGTGTGTTAACATGAACAAGCCACCTAACCTTTCTTGCTCCTGTAGAAAGGGGGCATCTGGAGAAGAGCTTTAAGGTTAGTCCTGAGCCTATGATTCCATTCACATACTTTCTGTAAAGAGTATGGGAATAAAAACTGTCCATGACTAAAACCAACGCAGTGACACGGCCTTTAGAGGATTCTTTCAGGTGATATTTAGAAATATGATAATAAAGAAGTATACCTTTTATAAAACTTCAGTAACATAGTGTGTTTACTTAACTGTATAAGATAAGAAACATTGGTTAGGCAGTGTATATATGCATATGTTATAGCAGTTGTACTCATCAAAATGAAGAAAAATAATATGTGGACTGTAGCATATGTATTATACATTGAACTCTCTGGATTTCTTATGGCGTACATATTTTCCCAAGGGAATAAATAGAAGTAAAATATTGAATGGAAAGTCATGCTGATTTTGGGATTGTACTGTGACTGTAATATTTAAAATAGAATTATAAGACCTTATTTGTAAAAACATGCAAAATACAGGGAGGGACAAAAGTAGATATACAGTTGTTTGTATGGAAAATAATACAATAATTAATAAGTAATAATATAATAATGAATAAATAATACAAGAATAAACTCCATTTTGTATACTCACAACACTAAGCCTACTTTTGCCCCATCCTGTATACTTGCAAAACATTGCAAATCAGAAGTTGGTACTAAGTCCTAAAAATTCTTCAATGAAAATACATTTGGAATGAATTAGATGTATTTTTAATGATCTGAAACTTATTAGTGATTAAGTGTATATTTAAGTATTTTTCAACTTTTATATTTTAAAGGAAAACTTTTTACAGTTAAGGTATTTTATCTTTTGCCCTGGCTAGGTGGCTCAGTTGGTTGGAGCATCGCCCCATTAATTGAAAGGTGACGGGTTTGATTCCTTGTCAGGGCACATGCCTGCGTTGCAGGTTTAGTCCACAGTCAGGTGCATATGAGAAGCAACCAGTCCATGTTTCTCCCCGCCCCCGTCCCTTTCTCTCTAAAGTCAATGTCCTTGGGAAAGGATAAAAAAATTATTTTTATCTTTCTTGTTTCCTTTTCTACTCCCATATGAAAAAGTGCTTTTTTTTTCTGTATAAAACTGTACAGGTTTCATCCTATAGTATTGTAAATATGCTTGTATTTCAAATATACATTTAAAGGTTGCGTAGTCAGTAGTTTTCATCAAGGGTGCGAAGACCATTCAATGGGGAAAGACACTTTTTTTCAACAAATGATGTTTTTCCCAAACTGGATATTCACATGCAAAGAAATGAAGTTGGATCCTAACTTTACACTGTAATAAAAATTAACTCAGAATTGATCAAAAACCCAAATTAAACATAAGACCTAAAAGTATATTTTCTTAGAGGACCAGTTAGAGGAAAAGCTTAATGACATTGGATTTGGCAATGATTTCTTGGATATAACACCAAAAGCACAGCAACAAAAGTAAACAATACATAAATTATGCTACATCAAAATAAAAATACCCCCTCCATCAAAGGATACAGTAACAGAGTAAAAAGGCAAACTATGGAATGGGAGAAAATACTTGCAAATCATATGCATGATAAGTGGTTAATATCTAAAATATATAAAGAACTCCTGTAAATCAACAACCAAAAAACCCCCAATAACCTGATTATAAAATGGGCGAGGACTTAGACAT